ACAACTGCCAAAATAGTGTCCTTGAACTTAAGCAAAGCGACCTAGAGGGAATGTTTGGCAAGCTTGTACTGTGGCCAGCAGCTCTCTGCCACCATCTTCACCATTTGCTTCCTGCTTGAATTTTAAGAGATGAGAAGAATATTTTATTGAAGAGCAATTTCTTCCCATGGGTAATGGAGTCAGAGGAGGCTCCTCAAGTGCATGGTAGTTCACTGACACCTCTTTTTAAATACTATGGCAGTTCCCTTTTGTGAAATGTAAATACAAATTCATCTGAATCTCCCAGTCCTGGATTGCTTCTGCCATGAGTGGGTAACAAATGAAGAGCGGAACTGGATGGAATTGATCCTTTCTGCTATAGGTTCAGAAATGGCTTGGATGGCAATTTTTGGGGATGTCTTTTGTACTTGCTATATTGAATCCAGACTGGATTTGTTATTTGAGTAGCCTTTCTTTAGACACAATTTTGTAAGTTGCTGTGTGATTTCTTGCTGTATTTCAAATGTGTCCATCAGCCCTTACTCCTGCCCCTCCAGTGTGCGATTTCTTAGTTTCTAGAGACCTGGATTCAGGAGAACTTACCAGTTCCTTTAAAGACAACCAAATTTTCCCTTCCCTTTGCTTTAGCTGGTTATAATACCATAAGACCAGATGGTCCATATGTGCCTGTGTCCTTTTTCACTTCTCTTATGTCATTTTCTGATATCCCAGTAATTTTTATTACCTTGAGCCCATTTCAACCAAGCGTAACAGAGAAGAATATAGATTGCAGAGGTAATGCTGTCCTTGAAAGCTTCTCAAGGCTGATGTCACTGAAAGAGCTGAATAGGTGGTTACTGTTGGGTAAACATAAATCTTATCATGTGCAGATCTACCTGAAAACTTGAAACTTGTGCAGTAGGAGACACAGTGATGATTAGAGAAGAAAACTCTTTTTGTAACAGTCATGTAATGGGAGTAGGAATTGCAGAGGAATGCTGGAATAGAGCAGCACATGCCTTGAATGTCCTATAGGCAGTCATGATCCTGGTATCTGTATCTGTTACCTATGAGGTGCTGAAGACGTGAAGAAGATGGATAGCCCCTTCATGTTCAGGATATCTCCAGAGATCATTGCAGAATGGAAAGGTACTGGAAAGGTACTTCTGCTCTGGAAGAAACGATTTTGCTTTCCGTAGGAACTTTGAGCAATGACCAAACAATGCTTGAAAACCTCAGGAAAACTTTGCCAGAGAACAAAAAAGATGTAGAATTGAAAATAAAGTAGGAATTCCTCAGTGGAGTTCTCCAGAGTCAGGGGATGTGACTTGGACTAAGCTGTTACTGTTTGCTCATTTTTCCTGCATTTATGTGCAGCATATGAGAAATGCATTCTGTGTCTGGAACTGGAACTTGGAAAGCTAAGTTCTGGTTGAGAGCAAGACTTGTGTCTAGTAAATGGCTAGCTGTGTGACTAGAGTGAATTACTATGGTGTTTGAAATGTTCTTTTATATTTTCAGGGTCTCCAATGTAAGTACAGGTTTGAATTTGGATTGGTTTGTGTGTTTATCAGGCCTACTGCAAATAGGAAGAATTGCATTTGGGTTTTGTTTGTTATTTTTTCCTTCCCTTGTTAAAAACATAAAATCAGTGGACTATATAGAAACGAAACAAACATTATTTGAAGGTGTTTAGTTTCTTGTTTGTTTTTGGTCTGTGGTTAATGGTATATGTTCTTTCGATAAACAGTTATTTGAAAACCATTTTCTTGTTCTCTGGCTGCTCATTCAGGAGAAGGAGATAAGAAAAGGTCTGGGGAGAAAATATTGAACTAAAAATTATATAGCTATGTAAGTTACACTTACATTAAATAATTGTCCTGAATGGGTTATCCCTCTTCTTGGTGGGGTATCAGTATGCTTTGGACAGAAGAAAGAGTTCGTTTTCCAGAAACTTAACTTGGTTCCTCGTCATTCCAGCATCTTTTTCTGCCAGGTGTGGTTGAACATTAAATATTGCTTATGGCTTTACTGTGGTAGCTCAGTGTAATGCACCAGATGTGCTTTGGGCCTTCTCACCTTTCGGGGCCAGGTGTGAAACTGAGCTCTTGCAACGTTCATTGCCACTAGCTCTGATCAGGGAAGTGCAGGCACATGACTTCTGCTCTTCATAGAGCCAGAGGCTCAGGTTTTGACAATTCACAGTCTGAAGTCTGCCAGGAGGAGTAAGGCTGCAAGAGATGGACCATGTTAGAAATTTTAGAAGTAAATTTTGAAGCCTTAATTTGGCAGGGTTTTCAGAACCTCTGAACTGAGACCCCAAATGACTGAAGAAAGCCTACTTGAAGAAATGGGATCCAGTAAATGTTAACAGAGGCAAAAGCACAGTTGCTTTTCACTTTCTTATTTCTTTTCCCTCTTGAAACTCTTGGAACTTCTCCCTTTTCTCTCTTCCTGGAATTGTTCTGGCTCAAAATACACCTAGAAAATAAGATGTTGTCCAGAAGCAGTCATTTGGTCCGGGAAATGTAAATTCACTGTATGGTTTCAAAAAGGTGTTAGCTTTTACAGAAAGAAAAACAACAACAAATGAAAAAAAACCCAGCACTCTTCGCATACATCCTACTACCACAGACTCCCAGCAGCAGTTGGCTGGCTTCTTAGTGTGTTAGTACTGACTGCTTGCTCTGATGACACTGAATCTGTTGCTGAGGTTGTTTTGCTGCTTTTGTTCAAAGACTGGCAGTATGATAGTGCCTCGGTACTTGTGGTTACTGAATTATTTAGCTAAAACCAGTCTACCTCAGAACTCTTAACGCAGAAGTTGCTCTTTGAAGTTGTGTGAAGAATTGCCGGGGCTCAGATGTTTTGGCTGAGGGGTTTCTGTTGCTAGTGGTGTGAAGCACAGCAGCTATTTCAGGGTAATTTATCACCTGTTTTTCTACAAAGTAATGGATCACTTTCTTTTCCCCAAGTGGACCTTGGATACTCTTCAGAAAAAGTGCTACTTGAATATGTGAAATTCAGTGATACAGCCTATTTTACACTTCATAATTCTAACTAAAAACTATTGGTATAATAACAAAAAACACGTAAGAGAGGAACTGCAGGAATTTGCTTTTGGAGGACACTAAATCAAGTGAGAATAACTGTAGCTGTGATTTAAAACAGTTTATATGCACTCTGTTGAGTGATGGAAGAAGGCTTTACTACAGCTGCACTCAGTTTTTAACCCTGGAAAAGAGGATTCCTTACAAAGTAATGCTAAAACTGTTTATCTCTTTTGGATATACTTTCTTTTTTAATGTACTCTGGTTGCCTCTGACCTTGTTCTGACCTTATAAAACTGCACAGGTTGGTGTATTGATGTGCCAAGGGGCCACATAAAATACTTGCATGTTGCTGTTATCCCCAGATATGTCTCATTTCAAAACCTGTGAGTTGTAAACACATCTTGTAGATTTGAGGAAGGAGTAGGAAACATTTACTCAAAGACCTGCAAGTTATGGATTTGGCTTCTTTTCTGGTGTTCTTTCATCATTGGTCTGTGCATGGTATTACCACGTTATACCATACACACCTTCCTGCAGTTACCAGCATACTCTTCCCTCAGAGACCGCCTTTGCTTTAGAGTGTACTTTCTGAACAGTTCAGTGTCTGGTGATGTAGTCCATTGTGTCGTGGGATAATTTGAAAAAAAAAGAGGGAGGGAAAAAAGGTAACCACATCTCTTGTTATAAAATTGTGTTTTTATTTTAGGAGTTGTTTTCTTCTAGGCTGATGATACCACAAGACTTAGCTGATGCTTGGCCTGAGCATCATGGTGGAAGCATCTGCATTGGTTTAGCTGAGGGCTCTTCTTGCTGTGAAGAGTTGCTGTGCAGTGAAGTAAAAAATGAGTAGTACTTGAGACCATAATAAGATTCTGTAATCATTCATTAAAAAAATTTTGATGCTATTGTTAGTATTTAGTGTTTCATGAATAGCTGTGCCGATGCTGTGAAATAGATGTAGTTTCTGTCCAGAAGAATGCAGCAAGAGATGCAATTTATATAACTCATGTTCCTTTTGCAGTCAATTTTATATAAATCATACTGAATAAAGGCAGTAACTGTCTTTTTTGAGTTTGACTTTTGCAACCTGAAAAATACTTCTATGAACGTCTCTTGTCTTTCTTATAAAGACATTAATTCGCTTGATATCTCTGTATTCCTCATTTTCTTCTTCAGATAGTTCCTTACTCTTTCTATAACTGTCATTGTCCAAATTTGCCTACAGATCCCAAATTCCTAGAACTTCCTACAGTGTTCATTATCTCTGTCTTCCTTGGGCACTTCAGTGCTTGGCTTCTCTGAGCAAGCAAAAGAAGCTTGGTGGTGTACAAGATCTAGACTTTTGCTGCTGTTTAGTGTTTGTGGACTCAGCATGACATAGAGCTATAGGTTGGGGGGGGTGGTTTCGACTAGTGCAGATAGACCTTTGCCTCTGAGGGTTGTTGTCTGCCACTTGAGGGCTTGCTTATCTGTCTGTCTCCTGGACTTATGCCTGGGCCAGTGACATTTACCACAGATGTTCATGCAAAGAAGTCAAGTTGCTCTTGTTTTCTGGGAAGTGTGACCCTTTGTGTTAATAGTTCTACTCCAGTGTAAAATGTTGGTAAAATTCACGTGGGTCTTCAGGGGACTGTTAGGAGTACCTTCTTGCCAAATTTACAAATTTGTACTCCAAAGCATTGAGCAATTTAAATTTGTTTGGAGAGGCCATTTGACTAGTTTTAAGTTTGAATGTTTCAGTCATTCTGGAAATGGCACAAATTAGAAAAAAATCAGGCCAAGCAGGTGAAATCTCACAAAAGTACTCAAAGTAGTTGAAAGCAGGCCATAGGGAACTTGAAGGCACCTAACATCTGTACCAGCAGCGCTGCGTAGAGCACCCTAAACTGTACTGCTAAAAAAGCATTTCTGACCTTTGTAAATTGTTTCCCTCACCTCTGCCCACTTCTGTCTCTTGTCTTCTCCCAGCGAAAGCCAAATCCAAATGCGGCGCCACATTCTTCCCCTGTGCCAGCGGGATCCACTGCATCATTGGCCGCTTCCGCTGCAACGGCTTCGAGGACTGTCCCGATGGCAGTGATGAGGAGAACTGCAGTAAGTGTGGGTCTGCATGCGAGTGAGGGCACTGCTGCTTCTTTCAACTAGTTAATACCACTTAGAAAGGGAAGAATTGGGTAGCCTTTAGTTTCTGAACCAAGTACTCTCCCTGTCAATTACAACCCATCTTTGTCTTTTCGCTTTATAAATGAATCTGTGGGTTTTTTTGTTTTTTAAGGTCCAACTCACTCTTGCTTTGCATATAATGCCTGTATGATACTTAAAGCGTCTTTGTGACTTTGAAATGAGTTTGTGACTTTTGAATGAGTTTTAAGCTTCATGTTTGCTTTGAACATGTTCTGTGTACTCAAATGTAACTCAAATGGGGCAAATATTAAGTATCACTTTGAATTGTTCTGGTTTTATTTGCCTGTTTTGTGTCACTAAAGAATATGATGCATTTGTTATTCAGTAGGTTTAGGTGTCTCTGTTTATACATGTTCTCAAACAACAAAAAAAGCAAATGGCATATTTTGAGAAACAGGTTCTCGGAAGAAGGAGGTTCTTGAAGGTGGGCATGCCTTTCAATGAGCTAACTTGACAGAATATTCTGAGTTGGAAGGGACCCACAAGGATCATCAAGTCCAGCTCTCAAGTGAATGGCCCATACGGGGATCAAACTTACAACATTGATGTGTTAACACCATGCTCCAACTGACTGAGCTAATCTCAGATTGAGCTGCTGTTCTGCAACTTGCAGGGAAGTTGCAGCACAGAGTTCATCTGAAGTACTGCTTGACTTGGGCTAAACTCTCTGCATGTGGCTGTGTAGATCCTTTTGTATCTGTAAGTCTAGAAGGGATATATCATAGCAGGAAGGAAAAGTTATGTTCAAGACAGCAGCTCTGTTGTTATTATCAAGAGCTGGTAAAAGCATGAGCCTGTAGGTAAAAACTTGGAAGAAAATACTTGCTTATCTTGTTGGAGCTTGCTGAGTATTTCTTTTTAATAACATTTAAAGGTCAGGAGGAGGACAACAGACACCAGCTTTCAAAGATAACAAAAGGGGTGATCTTTACAGTAATATATCACTGTCTGCTTCTTGGAAGACTTGCCTTTCTTGTTAGTGTGCTTTCCCCCACAGCAGGAATACCTCTTAAGGTGCCATCTGTTGTTGGCCTAGAGAGTCTGGTTTGGGCCCTGGGAGGATTGTGGCAGGGAGTTAGCACTTCTGCAGAGCAAGTGAAGCTAGAGGTAGATTGAAGGCTAAGGAAATTCCTCCGGGTTGTGCTTAAACAAGTGGACTAGGAAAAGTTTTGACAAAAGTGCTTTGAGTATCCTTGAGGTGTGACCTGACAAGCAGCAGGTCTCAGCTGGAGGTGCACCAGCTCATGAAGTTCATTATGAATGAAACAATTTCCCATGAGCTTGTAGTGTGTAGTTCCAACAGGACTTTACAGCTGATGATAACATGCTGCAGATCTCCCTGTTTTTCTATGCCATTTAAGCACACACTTGGTATTTTCTATCGTGTCTAAATCTCTAGTCACTGCTTATGAAGAGGAACAACAATGAGGCCCTAAGGTGACCTCAAAAATCAGTGGTGTGCCAGTGTGCAGCAGTTTTAAACCAAAGGACCTTTAGCATGTTCATGATAAACATGCTTTTGGGAAGCTGGAGAAATTTGGAATGTTTGTTGCATATACTGCAGGTTATATGCAGGGCAGACTCTAAAGTTTCATATTTGTTATTTTTTTAAAGACTCTTTAAATCCAGCTCTTACTTAAAAAATAGGAAGCCAATTAGTATTTGAAAACTGAAATGCCCTTTGTTATTGAGACAGAGAAGCAGTTTGAGGCAGACGAGGCATCTAAACAGCTTTTTTAAGGTTTTCAGTTGGAAAGTTGCATTCAGTTTCAGTCACCTCATTGAGAAGAGTCAGAGAAGAGTGCCAACAATGATTAAGGGAGAGAGGTTGGTTTACGAGTAGATATTAAAAACAGATGAATTATGCATATCTTGGCTAAGCAATGACTGTGTTGGAGAGTAAGGATATATATGCTGTATATGAAGGATGCAAACACTGTTTGAGGAGGGATCGTGTAGTTATGTATGCTGGGCTATAGCTAAGAGTAGAGGGATTGAAATTAGAAAAGAGAAATCTATATCAAGGAAACCTTGACAGTGAGATGCACTGAAGCTGTGATGTAATCTGCTAGAAGTGTTGAAAACTGCACTGCTTGAAGCTTTAAATGAAAATAGACATAGCATTTTAGAGCATATATACTGCTAGGTTTGGCATGGTGAGAAGACTGCTCTACCTAAATGAGTCTGCTTAAATACTATTCTGTTTTTGCTCTCTGTGCAACAGTGGGCCTTATGTGAAAGGATTTTCTGGGTGCTACTGTAATGTGCATATTACCCTGAAAAAGGAGTTGAAATTCAAACAGTGAGAAGTTGAGAGGTTTCAGCAGTGCCATTCTATCAATTCAAAATAGCAAGGAGAATGGAGTAGGAGGAAAAAAACAGAGGCAAGGTAAATAAACCACTGCCTGGCAGTTCTCAGCAGGGATCATTGCCTTATAGTATGGAACTTGAACTAAACTTAGTTTGTTGTAGAGTGAATCAACAGGCGGTGTTTATGGTAGGCAGTTCAAGTCCATATGTCTTCAGTGTGAGCAAATGTGGAACAGTGATCATGATTGGGGCTCTCATGAAAATGAACAGAAGGCTTATCACAACTGTGGGTGGACTAAATCTCTGCTAATTGTAATGAATCTTGCACGAATTAGAAGTTTCAGCTCTCCCTGTGTAGAGGGAAGGTTGGTTTGATTGCCAAGTTACTTTCACATGTTCAGCGGATTGACCAGCTGTTGAGTTGTGACCTGTTGTCATTGATTGCTTATGGGCTATTTAACTGCCTGGGCAAGAGAATTTCTAATGAAAGATCTCACTTTCTCTTTTTGCAGCAGCAAATCCCTTGCTTTGCTCTACTGCCCGATTCCACTGTAAAAATGGTCTTTGCATTGATAAAAGCTTTGTGTGTGACAGTCAGAATAACTGCCAAGACAACAGTGATGAAGAAAGCTGCGAAAGCCCTCAAGGTAGGCACAGGGATTTTATTCTATTCTGCAATGGTATTCCAACTCAAATTAACATGGAACAGGCTCAGCTGGAAATACGGTTCTGTTGGCTTGCTCTGAGTTGGCTGGAACCGTGGTTTCCTCGTTCTGCAAATAATGAAATGTGTAGAGTGTGTGTGTGTGCATGCATACATTTAATTTTCAGTGCTCAGAAGACTGGTATCTTTTTCAGATTAGTAAAAGCACATTTTTGCAGGAAGTGCTTATAATCTGTGATCCAGTGCTCACTGAAGTTGCTGGGAATCCATTTAGTAACTTCTGTGAGATGGATTGGACCTGGGGGAATTGATAGTAAAAGTACAGTTGGAAGTGAATCTGTCTATTTACCAGATGAGTAAATCTTGTGTAGTCTTAAAACTTTAGATCCTCACTGCTCAGTTACTTTCTGAAAGTCATGTTTCACTGCACGACAAGTCTACAGTGAAAGCATTTATTCCTACCCTTCCTTGTTTCTGTATGTAGAGTAAAGGATGAACACAGGGAAGAAAATTTTTGTTCGAAACTTGTTGTGTATTGAATCTTGTGAGAATCTAAAAACAGTCTTTGATTATTTTTTCTCTTTTTAACCTATGCTAAAGTCTACATCTAGTGCTTTTCAGTTTTGTTTTCTGCAACTTGATACCATAGTATATATATATAGTATATAAAATGTCAAGTATATATGAATGACTTGAGGTTAACAAATGATGTGTACTGGGCATCAGCTACTAAACATTTTAATGTCTGAGTTACTACTGAGAGATAGGCAAAATATGGGAGATGCAGGATATCTGCAGGGGAGGTGTGATATGCTTCTGCCTAAAGAAAGCAGGGCATGTGAAGAGAGATAGAGCAGGGTATGAAGGAAGAAGTAATTAGTGAAATTGAAGGAGGATGACTTTAATATCAAGCTGCACTGATCATTTAGTCTTTTGTGGAAAAGAAAATAATCCTGAGCTGAACATGATGATAAATATTATTGACAACTCACAGAGGAAGAGGGAAGACATGCAACAGCAATGCCAACAAAACAGGGTTTATAGCAGTGGTGTGTGACAATCTCCTCTGTGTCATTCCTCCACCTAACCTGTGAGCTCTTTCCTGTGGCTCCACATGGAAAGGCTGAAGGAGTTATCCTGGTAATGCATCTGCGTGCTGAGCTACATTACAGCCTGGGAACAGGACTTGGATCAGAATCTCAGAGAGGGGGTTTGGCCTGCCCCTACTCTGTCTGAAGGATGAAGGAAAGGTGAGGGACAAGAACGTGCTGAGGGAGAAATTATTCTTCACTACAGGTCTAAGGCAGCATAATAAGATTAATGCGGGTGGTAAGGTTTTGTGTTGGGTTTCTCTTTCTTTCTCTCTTTTTTTAGCTTCTGAAGCCTAAAGAAGCAGTACTATTTTCCATGGTTGGGATGAATGCTTCCTTTGCAGATTAATTGGCTGGATTGCATCCAGGTTGTTTGTTGTCATGACAATCTGCTTTTGAAAGTGACTGTTGGGCGTAGGAGAAGAAAAGAGCTGTATTTCATGAAGCACTTACTCTTGTCTCTATATTTGGTCCTCCTGGAAATGTCAGAATAGGAAGAGGGTTAAGCAAAGTAGATCTATCTGATTATATATATGTGAAAGAGACCCAAACAAGGAAGAAAGAACTCCATCTCATTAAGACAAGAGCATCCATGGTTTGTGGGCTCTTTTATTTAAAGAAAAACCCAGAGTGTGGGGTTGGAAATGAGGAGTTCTCAAAGTGTAATGCTGGTTTTGCCCTTTGGCAGCTCAGAGCCTCCCTGAATTGCCATTTCACCATCTGTAATTGGATGATGCTTAGGTACCTGTCTTTCAAAGCAATGATTAAACAGTGTTCAACTTCCTATCTCAGTGTAAATGACAGTTCCCTCTGGAGTTTTCAGCTATAGATATGTTGTCCTGGCTTCCAAACACACCGACTACTTTGTGTTAGTTGGGAGTTAGGGGTTACTGTGGACAGTCTTTAATTTCTCACAGTTCTTTCTACAGCAGATCTAATTACTGTAAGTACAATGTTAACATATTACCCAAGAATCCTGGTCATTAAGTAGAACTCAAGTGCTCTGGGTACTTGGGGACAGAGCAAAGCAAATCTGTAAGGTGTTATAAAATGAAGATAGAGGGTTTTCTTCCCACTGGCTATGTTATCACATCAAATGTGGTAGCTTTAGTTCAGTGTAATTGAGTGTAGTCTGACATATGAGATTGCCCTTTTGTGCTATTTTTCTATCTATAAATGTGTTGATTTAGAAGTCACTAAGCTTCTGAACCGCTGTATGATACTGTCATTATCACCATTTCACAGATGGGGAAAAGAGGGCATAGATCAGCTAAACAAAATGCTCCCAGAGTGCCATCCTGGCTGGTAGAGAAGAGCTTCATCCACACTTGTCTGCTTCAGGGGCACGTCATTAGACTTAATCAATGTTTGCAAACTGGTTTGAGATACTGTGATAACAAGGAAAATAGAAGTGTTAATTATTAATTGATGCTTTGCTCTCCTTTTGCTCTTGGGTATACTGACAAGCTTTTTAAATTAACACCTCTTCCTACTCTTCCATGAACTTCAAAGGCCTCCTTTATCCTGCCTGTCATTACTGGAAAGCTCCAGTAGCATATCAGTTTGGTTTGTGTCAGATACTCCTCCATGCGTAAAGATCCTTTCAGTCAAGAAGGGTCACTCTGCAGGCTAGGAAAACAGGAATGTGACCTCCCACTGAAAAACATACTGACCCAGCTTTGACATGGAACACTTCAAAATGTGCCATCCTCGATTAATAACAGCTTTACTAGCATGCTGCAATTTGGGATGAGCCTGAAGAAGTGCATTTATAAAGATTAATTTTAGTCATAAGTGCTAGCAGATTCATTTGAGAGGAGGGAGACACAGTCCTCAGGATTTAGTTGTGAAAATGAGAGGAAGATCAAATTGTGCAGGTTTGCTCCTTTCTTCTTACCACTTATAACTGAGTGTTGCATGTCTTACAAAGTCATGGTGTTGTATGTCATGGGGAAAGTGCCAGATTAAACAGGGACAGTTTAGCAGTGAGTCAAATAATTCAACTCTAATTCCTGACAGAAATTATTTGTAGTTCTTGTCACTGCCACAATAAACTTAAGGGCTGTTCCTTTAATCCCACCCCAGCTAAACTTTGGTCATCTCAGTTTTCCAGCATTGAAGTAGTACAGCCAAATACTTCCCTTAGTCTGGAGTGTGGTGTATTCATCAAAGTATGTGCTTGAGTTTTGGGATTGGATGGAGGATATAATTGCTTGGATTATCCACGAGTCAAATATATGAATTACTCTTTCTAGGGAGTTATTCCAGTTTTAACACCAGCAGTGATTGGAAATTTCTGCTCCTGTTCTGTACTTAATGGATCTTAATTCAGGAAAAGTTCCTCTTCCCCACACACTTCTTTCCCTTGCCACTCCTAAGACCTCTCCCTATGCCTCAAATTAGCTGACAGTGCTAATCATTCATAGCATCTACTCTGGGTGTACTCCTCAGGCCTGCCTGTTGTTGGGGGGATTCCCTGTTCTGTGACAGGCATTCACTCAATTGGAAGGGAATTTCTCCTTCTGAATATTTTCCAACAACTGTTTAAATTTGTTCAGCTCCATGACTGTATTTAATTTATTCTCTAAATTGTGGGGTTTTATCTAAATGTATCTTCATAGGGCTTCTTCCATGAATTTCTCCTCCGTTTTGTACTTAGAGTTTAGAAGGCTTTAACACCAACAAAAGCACACTGGATATTTTGATTCAAACTCACTTTCCTTTTGTGGCCCTTCTTTTCTTTCAATATACGTTTGCTAAATACCTTCACTAGCTTTAATCCCGTTGCCTAGGAAAGGGAGTTTTATTGCTGCTAGTCTGTACTCACTCTGCTGCTGTAAAGAGAGGCTCTTGACTTCAGTAATGTTTCTGAAATTCTAGCTCTGCAGTTGTTTGTAAACAGTATAGTTGCAGTCGGGTTATAAACCAAACATTTTGGAAGTGTTCAGAAGTTAATTCTTGCCATATGTTTCTACAGTGTATTTGGTGATGTCCACTGCTGCACATGTGGGTACCTCCTTTTTTTATTTTTTGCGTATCTTTTCATTGAATTTGCATTAGGATTTTGATATACCCCAATATTCTAAAACAGGTTTAGAAGCTCACAGAGTTTTAGAAGTCTCTGCCCTCTTCTCTGTGGCATAAAAATTGTCAGCATATGAACAAAAAAAAATCTGACCCTGTGTCAAATAAGTGGAAAACCCTTCAAAATGTTGACTTTACTAAGATTAATTTTCAGGTGATAATATGAATTCTGTAATGGTAATTTCCACGGATTAAGGTATGGAAAAAGTTGGAAACAGACTGGCTGTAGAGGTAAGCACTGTGGCCATTGCTAGTGTTTGCATGATGGAGTTGCAGTGCATATTGGATTTTAGGCTTGACAGCTAAGTGGAACAGACGTACTCTAAATTTCAATGAAATACGACAAAACCTAATATTTGAAACACAAATAGCTCCCAGAACATCTGACTCCATAAGGAGCTTGTAACTAGCCCTTTGGACGTGGTAAATTGAAATTCTGAAATTCCCAAATGCTGTGGTATTACTTAGACATCCCAAAGCTTTGTAGTCTGAACCTGGCAGCATACATTTCCTTTTATTGAGTTTCTCTTTGACTCATTATTGACTCAGCTTGTAAACTGAAGCTCGACTCACAATTATTGTGCATAATCTTAGCCCAGGTTCAGCCTACAGCAGGAATTTAATACTCAGAGGCAGACAAATAGAAGCAGAAACTTAAAGAAGGATGCAAACAGAATGTCACTGAATGTTTTATTAAAATTAAGGTTTTGCCTGAGCATATATAACTCTCTAATATCCCGTTTTTATAACACTAGCTGTGTGGAAACATTTTTGTCAATTTTGTAAATTCTTTCATTCCTGTGTTCCT